TCAACAAGTGCTGGTTGCTCTTATCATGGCCTTGTTAGAGCCAACAGAGAAAACACCATATGATGCAGATAGAGACAGACAAAAGGAATAAAGAGTTTAAAGCATGTTCTCTCAAATATTTCACACCAACCAGCATTGGTTCTTTCTGCCACTGCTGGATGATACTTTTTAATATCCAACAAGCTTCAGCTGAGCTATTCTTAAGCACAAAGGCCTTTAAACTTGCCAAGAAACGGAAATCTAGCAGAGTTGTCAAGATTTCACCCTACTGGCAAAACTACATTAAAAAGATTCACCAATTCAGAAAAGCTATTTCATCAAATTTCATCAAGTGCGACTTCATTCAGGAAAAACATAACTTGTAATCTTGGGGCACCAGTAAGTTTTCTAGCATGGTATTTATTTTCCAAGTTCAACAAGCAGATTGCTCTGCTACTGTTCAGGAGCATACAAGTGATTTCAGCAAAGGGAAGTCATCATGAGTACTAAATCAACTTTATTTTTAAGCTCCATCCTTAAAGAGCCAAGAATCGCTATTATTATTATTACTGAAAAGAAAACCACCTTCCATCTACCACTGCTTTGTAGTTCTGAATTATTTTGAAAAGAAGTGGGGAGTGGAAAGAAAGAACCAGAAGAGTCTGGTTCATTTTGGTGTGAGGAGTCACAGAAATACAGCCTACATATATAGTCACTACACAAGTCCTCCACAACTCCTTCTCGTAGAGAACTCCATTTTTTTTTCCCCCCCTCTACTGAATCAGAACAGAGGTGGTTTTGTTTCAACTTAACAAAGAGAAGCTCCATTTGACAAGCAGATTCTGGAAAAAAAAAAAAAAAAAAAAAAAAAAAAAAAAATGTTTTCTAACCTATGGGTAAGTAATTATTAATTAAAAAAAAAAAAAAAAAAAAAAAATCACAGTACAACAATTCTGATGTTTCAGAACAACATATGAATGAATGTAGAATTGCTCTCCCAGGTCTCAGCTTGGCCTCAAATATCAAAGTATCCTTACAATACTGGTCACAAGTAGTTGTTCCACTTCAGAGAAGCACAGTCTTGCTGTAAGGCTTAAAGAGAATCTAAATCATGCAATCCCTTCAAGTCTCCATACACTCTGCAGCAGAACTGTGGCACTCCTCTCCTCTTGTGGTACTCAAGTAGCTTCTGTGGAGCCAGGAATTTCCAGGTCTCCAAGGTTTTGGACATTCTCTGTAGGAAGAAGCTGGGAAGTAAGAGAAAGCAGAGAGGCACGAAAGCAAAAAAGTGACTGACAGCTTCCAAGAGCAAGAAACCATAGCATACTTTTCTGTAAATTACAATTAAGTATTACTGTCAACTGTCTTGACATCTTGAGCATGTTGATTATGTGTTCCTTTTTGTTTGACAAATTATAAGCAAGATTTGCTGGTTACTTGCAATAGCAACAAAACCAAAGCAAATTACACATTTTTTTCTTGTACCAAATTCTAATAAAATGTAATCAAATGTCCTTTCAGACAAGTTTGAATTCTGATTGCATGAGTTACTAAAAGAAAGTTACTGTATTAGATAAAGTTAGATCACTCAATCACTTACAAAGCCTAATGACTTGGAAGAACTACAGCTTTGTCTGCAGTATTGGTGCTTCTAATGGAGAAAGTTCGTTTTCCTCTCAAAAAAAAGACCAACACAAAGCTCTCTTCCCCAGTACTGTTACTATCATTTGTAGACAAGTCAAACAATTAACAGTGCTCTGCAGAGCCTCAGCTGCAGCACAGCACTGGGGATGCTCTGAAAGGTATTTTTAAATTGTACAATGACCATCTTCACTCTGACAATGGAATTAAAAGTCATGCGTTTTAAGTTACAAACAGGAGATTTAACATTTTTTAGTTTCTTCAAATGGTTATTAACTGACAGAAAATCTTGACCAAAGTCAGAAAGGCAATACGAGACTGAAGCTACAGCACAACTAAGGTAAATTCTAAATGAGTTGCCAATATAAAGATAATCCATCATGTGTAAGTAACACTTTATTTTTTAATTAATTCTGCCTGTTTTCTAGGCAAATTGTGTTTCCAAATCAGTTACAGGAGAATATGCAAAAAAAGGTAACTTCAGAGCAGGAGGTAGCAGCCATGATATAATCTGCGCCTCTGTAACAGAAACTTCCCTCACGTCATCAGCACAGTCTTACAGACATTAAGTTACATGCAGGAGGAGAGCACTCTCTGCAACAGTTCTACAAAAGCAAACCAAGTCAATTGTTCATAAGAACTTTAGAGATCTCAAAAAAAAATAATTTCATGCTGCTCTGTCTCATAGACTTCATGTAACCCATTACCATTAATATTAAGACTAGACAATTTTCACATGTTTATGTTGATTACCATTCACTTGCTCTGTACAGACTCCAACTGCTTCTGAGGAGGAATAAACCTCACTTGTTACATCCAGCTTACAAAAAAAAAAAAAAAAAAAAAAGAAAGAAAGAAAGAAAAAACACTAAACCCATTACACACTTTCAACGGCATTAAAACAAAGCAAAGGTCTCCCAGTTCTTCACAAAACTAAATCTAGCTCTCCCTTACTAGCAACTATCATTCTCATCTCTAACTACTACTGGAGAGCTGCTTTGGATTCTCACTGTCCTAACAGATATGCATCCCCTTTAGATTCTAAATAGATATGTTTACAAATAGCCTGGACAAATCTGAGTTAATGAAACAATTTCCTTAATTCTTAACTCTACCCTCCACATTTATAGACAGCAATCACAATGATTTCTTCCTGCTGCAGTAGAGATCTGTATGTAGGAATAACAGGAAGACCCTCTTCTTTCCAAAAGAGTAACCAGGCGGCAAGTCAAACAGGGAACCTGATCTGACTGAAAACCAACCCAGCAGCAGAACTAGTTTTCTGTCAGATCAATGAGCTCCTTTCAGCAGTTGCCTGCTGGAGCAGATTAAATGCATCATGAAACTGCGCACCAAGAGTTCGCAGAGAACTGGCTAACCACCACAGAAATAAAACACACATGAAAAAGCATCTCAGAAGCAGTGTTCTTAAGGCCAGCATTTCCTCCCTAACAGGCACTTGAATCTCCTAAGAGTCAGAAAATAATCAGTAGAGAAGGGCAGGAAAAAAAGAGTTGTATCATTTAATTTCTGTCCCGTGTGGCCTCATCCTTCACAACTGCATTTGGCCAAACACAGTGAGTAACATGAAAAGCTCACATTTGGAGAGAAACAAGGAGGAACTTTTCCAACCTGCCAAATCCACAGGCAGGACAGAAACAACCTATGTGACTAATATTGATTTTCACTTTCCATTCTGTGACCACCATTGAAAATTAAAAACCTTCTAAAGCAGTTGACCAAAATCATTTTGTCTGTGTACTAATTGCCATATGATACAAAGCCTATTTTGTGAAGTGTTATGACCAATCATCCTAGTGTGCCTTTTCACCTGCAGAGCCCACAGAGATGCCCCGATACAGTTTATTTTTCTCATTTAACTGGCAAAGGACTGCTGTAACTGAAGCCATCCCCTGAGGACTCGACCCAGTTCCTGGGGGAGATGTGGGAGGTGCCTGCCACAGGTGAAGGGCTCTCTCCAGCCACTGGCGGCTGCTCAGTTTCTCGCTGCAGCTAACAATGGTGTGGCTGCTGCAGAGGAATACGATCCAAGCTAGAGCTGTATTATTCCTCCCTCTCTCCGATAAAACCAATGGTTTAGGAACACCTCATATCTATTAAAATTAACAATTCCGGAGATGCTAGATAAACATTATGCTCACATTTGGTCAACTGCACTGAATTTATAGGTTTTTTGTGTTTACTGTTTTAAAACAGTATCAAGACAAAACTTAATCACAGTGGTGATTAACCACTGTGATAACCCACAAGATTTAAGTCACCGTACAAAATAAGTCTCAACAACTTAGCAGAAGCTCAATGCAAGTCAGAGAAGTTCACCATGTATATGAACTGAATATATGGTTTATGGATCATATGGTCGTATACCCAATATGACCTCCATTTCCTCACTAGGCTTCGTTTTAATTAAGGAAATATTGATATTTAACAACACCCACAGGTACCCAGCAATAGTTTCTCTTCAGCTGCAGATTTGCTACACCAATAAGCATTCATCCACTGTAAGGGTAGGTGCTAAAGTATATGCATATTACATTTCTAAATATATTAAATGTAAGAATTTAAGCAGAAAGGAGAAACACATTTACCCAGAAAGCTCTCATCCAGCCATTTTATGAAAGATAAATCTCATGACTCACTCTAGGCAAGGCTTAACCCAGCACTTTCGGATGCTTTTCTTAAATAAAAACTAAATCGCCTTAGAAGAGAGTCTGATCCTCAGCAAAGATACAGCTTACACAGATAGAATCAATTCTGCTTGGTGAGCTTCTATCCGTTCCCATGCTGAGTAAGAGCAGCCAATAACCCTGCACTGGGGCATTCACTGAGTCATCCCAGCTCCTCTAAGGGAGAAGACCTCAAACGTTTTGTTTCTGCTTATGGAAAACAGCCTGCCTGATAACAACGCTGAGTGTGTGCACAACCTGCAGCCCCAATCAATAACGCATAGTTCTCACTGCCATCAGCCTGAAAGCCATGAGCAATTGCTGTGCAATACTGAAGACAGCCAACAGCACGACCAGGCAAGGCTCCCAGGGGTTGCTTCTTTTGTTCATTTAAATGGTTTGAAAGAATAGCAATCCCAGCCTTAGGTCCAGCCTGTATCACCTGCAGCATTTGCTCAAAGTTCAAAGAGTCACGTACAAACAAAAGCAAGTTTTCTCACGGTAGCTTCCATTAGCAACAAGCAGCGGCCAGGTCGGGAGATGAGAAACTTCCCACTGCAGGGACTGCTAACAGCAGTCACATCATCACAGAGCACATCTCAGGATAACACAACCCAAGTACACAGACGGAGATAGAGCCCATCTGATGCATGCTGGATGGCAAGAACGACGTACGCAGCAGCAAGCCCCTACCTGTGGGGCTGCGTCCCACCGCCCTCCGGGACAGAGGTCTCTAGGATGGACCTGAGCGGTGACACCGCACCGAACTCGCGCGCGAGCCGACATACACGGGGGGGCCACGAGGAAAAAAGAAGCGTGCACGACAGCAGCGGGTCTACGGGGGAGAAACACCACCCCCAGGGAACATCAGAAAAATGCAGACTAATCGAAGCGGATGCGCGCACATCTGCGCGCGCCGCAAGCCACGCGGCGCAAGGAGCGCATCCGCAGTTCCCAGGGTCCCGGCAGAGAGCGGGGGGCTCCGCGCCGCCCCGAAGCGACGATGCGGCACAGGGCAGCCGCCGGGCCGCACCGGGCGGGGCGCGGCGCTTTCTAGAAGGAGCCGCCGCCCCCCGGGGCCGCGCCGCCCGGCGGATAAAGTTTGCGGCAGCCGGCGGCGGCGCCACTGCAGCGCCGGGCGCGTCCGCCGCAGTGACCGGCCCCGGCAGGAGGGACGCCGCTAGGCCCGGAGCCGGCCGCCGCCGCATCCCCCGCAGCATCCCCCGCCGCCGCCCCGGCCGCATCGCCGCCCCACCCCGCCCGCTCCACTGACCGATAACCTCCTGCAGCTCGTAGGCGTCCCTGCAGATGGGCCAGCCGACGGGCGGGGCGGCGGGCGCCGGCTGGGGCTGCTGGACGTGGACCGGCGACTCGCCCTGCTCCGCCATGATGCTGCCGGAGCGCCCGGGCACCCGGCGACCTTCTTCAAACTTCCCTTCCAGCAACACCTTTCAGCCGCTCCCTCCCTCCCTCCCGCCCCGCGCAGCCGGCCGCCCGGCGGAGGGAGGAGGCAGGGCACCGAGGGGGAGGAGGCAGAGGCGGGCGCCGCCGCCGGCCCCGGCCGCTCCGCTCGCCCCGCGCCGCCGAGGAGAGGCCGGGTGGCCGCCGGCGGGCCGCGACGGGCGCTCGGCGCTGGAGATCGCTCTCGCGCGTCCCCGTTTCGCGGGGAGCAGCACGAGGACTCCCCGGACGCCGGCTGACCCGGCGGCTCGCTCGCTGCCGTCCTCCTTCTCGCACATCCGCGAGGCTCCCGGCGGCGCGCGGCTGGAAGCGCTGCGGGCGCTCGGTTGAGCGCGTGCAGGCCGCGGCCTGCGGGAAGAGCCCCGGGCCGCCCCGAGAACGCGGGGACGCTGCGGGGTCTTGGAGGAAGCCCGGGGCCGACGGGGATGCTGCCGGGGAAAGCACCTGTTAGGCCAACTGCACCAGCGTGCAAACGCCTCTGTAGCACTCGCTTCAAGCATAAAAGCGTTCCTGCCAACAGCATCACTGCTGCACACTCGTATTTAAATTTGAAGACATGAGCAACCATTTGGTTTTGGCAGCTTTGGGCACTCCAATCCCGCAAAGCAGTGGAGTGGCCTTACTCAAGCAAGGAAGCGATGCCACACTGCTACACCTCAGCAGAGATGCAGCCTCGCACTCACCAAGCAGGGTTAGCACACAGCTGGGAGCTGTTCCCACAGCCAACAGAACTGAGGGGTCTAAACAGACAGGAGTCATTGTTAAACTTTTCTACCTCTCTGCATGATATGAGACAAGATTAAAAAAAAAAAAAAAACCACAACCAAACAATCCATGAGTAGATGAAACTCAGGAACTTAAACTGGTATTAATATAGCATACAGTTGTGTTTTTCTTTCTTTTCTGCCATCTTCGCAGTCATTCATGTAGTACCAGCAGGGTGTTACCTACTATAGTCTCACTCCTACTTTGAAAGCTTCATATTTCAAAATCCATGGGATTCAGAAAGCAGTAAGAAAAAAAAGTTTCATCGTAGATTTTAAAAATTTCTCTTCCTATTACAGTAGGGGAAATATTGATGGTAGGTGGACAGTTGGGCTAGATGATCATGGAGGCACTTTCCAACCTTAGTGATCCTACAATAGGGATTTAAGGTCATTGGAACTGATGATGAAAATGTGAGCTGGAAATCTCTCAGAGCCAGCACTGATTGATGTCAGAACTGAATCTCAAAACTGTTGAGAAGCACAAATCACAGAATCACTAAGGTTGGAAAAGACCTGTAAGATCACTGAGTCCACCCCATCCCCACCTTGCCCACTGACCACATCGCCATGTGCCACATCTCCACATTTAGCCAGCACCTCCAGGTATGGTGAGCCGACTATCACCCTGGGCAGCCTGTGCCAACACTTTAACTTTTTCCGAGATAAATAATTTCCTAACATCCAACCTTAAGAGTAAGAATAGCTTCATATCAGGTCTCAGTTTGCACAGGACATCTAAGGAGTTAAGTGCTTTGGGAGTTATTTTGTGCCACACCTGTATAAACATACATATGCTCCTGTTCGGTTGAATCTCAAGAGAATTTCCCCTAGGTAGCTGTGGATCCAGACATGAAACCAAGCACATGTGTACTTTATCCTCCCCATCTCCTCAACCCATCGATATTCTGAATACTTTATATTCCATTCAAAGTTGAGACCCTGATCCTAACAAGGAAAAATTTCCACGGAGCAACAGTATGATATGTGATATGTGTCTCTTGGTTGTATTATTAACTTCTCAGCAGGATGGCTGGAATCTGACCTGACAATAACAAGCCAAACCCTCTCTCTTATCTATAAATTTACTATCTTGTTTCAAAAGAAAGCTATTCCTACAAAACAAAATCAAGTTATTTATGTTTTGCTGTGTTGCTAAGAAGGCATAATGAAGAATGAATTCTTTAATAACTGCTTAGCATTTCATCAGGTCCATCAACAACTTGCAAATATGGGCTTCCATTTTCTTACAAGCAGCTGTTAAGCTTAGTACGGAAGCCACTAGCAGTAGGTAAATACTGCATGTTTTATGCTGAAAAAATGATTCATTACAATTTAATTTTTAAAAGCAAAGTCATTAAAACATTTTCATATACAAACATTAGAAATTATCTCCCACAAAACTAAAGGTCAACAAGACTTGGAAGAGGATATATCAAACTGTCATTCGATATTAAGCTCAATGCCAAAACTAGGCAAACTTGTTAGTAGAGGAGACCTTTCTGCCAGCAATAACATGGAGAAAATAAAAGGACAGCAACAGCATAGGGCAAATCAATCAGCACTGAGAAATGGTTTCTCACTAATGATGGCAAACAGCCAGCTTCTCCATCTGCACTCAGCTGTTGGCGGGTGGTGGCAGGGGATACTTTTAGTTCCTAAGCCATGAATTCCAGTGATGTTGCTGCCATATCACTAGCAAAATTGCTAGAATTTAGCATCATAGAATTACAGAACATTGTAGATTTTTTTCTCCCAGAACTAGCAATACAACTTTGGAAATTTCCAGAGCACACTCACACTTTATTGAGATGAGCAGCTCTTACAGTGAGAATTTTCCAGGAGGACAATTTGCTATAGAGTGGAACTGGCGGGAAATGCTCCGCGCAGCCAGCACAGCATAGGACTCAGGTTTCAGATTCGCGTAAGGTAACACAAAGAAAAGCGACAGCCAGCCCCAGCCCTCGAAACGGCTGGTGTGCAGCAGCCGGCCAGCTGCCTTTGGAAAGCAGGGCCCCTGCTGGAGGCTGCTGGGAAGAGCCTTGCAGCGTTAGAAACTTAAAGCAGTACAGCCAATAGCGTTTTTTTTCTTCCCCCTGTTGCCCAAAAACTCCGATTAAAGAACTATCTGCAGATTTCGGAGATTCAGTAGAGGAGAAAAAAAAAAAAAAAAAAAAAAAAAAAGAGAACTCAAAAATAATAAAATTAAATAATATATTAAAATCAGTGTACCACAAATTGAGGACATTTCAGAACAGTCCTACCCTGCTTGAACATGGTTTGGTCTTGTGAAGTGCTTAAAAAAAAGAAACACAATGCTGAACCAAGTCTCCAAATAAAGTGAAAAAACGCTTTACATAGCCAGGCTACAGGGAAAACTAGCAATTGTCAGAAGCCTACAGGCCAACATGGATAAGAGTTAAGCAGATGCTCAGACCCTTCAATAGCTCCAACCAAACGATAAAAGCAACAGGCACAATCTAAGTAGCCATATGAACTAGCACAAGCTAAAACAGCAGGAAGAACAAGAACCAGTCTCTCTGCTATCACCTTTCTCTCTCAGAGAAGCAAGTGAAACAAAGCCATCCCCTCTCACCTAAAAATGGCCTAATATGACTATCACATAGTATAGCACAGCTGCCTGCAATTTTGTACCCTGGATTTGGAAACCTCCAATTTGAATAGAGAGAGGGATGGCTGTGCTTTTAAACATCATGAGATATGAAGGCTGACACAACAATAGCTGGTGCTGATGGGAGACAACAACATGCTTTCAGTCATCTTTTTACTTCTAGCAAACATACAGTTCAGTAGGTAACATTCCTATTATTGTTGCTAGCATGCTTGCTTTCATAAAATCTTGCAGTGTAGGCCAGTTTCTGCTGATACAAAAGACGTTAGAAAAGATGTTAGAATCTTCTATCAATACGCATTAAGAAAAGGATCTTGATACCCTGGAAAACTTCTGATTCTGTAGTCACTGTGTCAGCTGTGTTTTTGCTAAGTCTCACTGTTAATGTATTTCAGGGCATATTTCCAAAATAAATCACCTTTTCTCCTGAGTTAAAGGCCGTAATGCTTTTTCCTCTTTTCCTCCTGCACCTCCCTTCTTTATAAAGCTCTGTAATGCATTCTACTCAGCTCATTTCGTCCTTAAATTCAGGATGTAAGACTTCGTGTTCTGGATATTAGTGGTTGTTGAACCGGTAACCATTAAGTCATAGTTCATTGTTACACACTCACGTTGACCTTCTAATTATTTCCTTATATGCTATATGCCAAGCTGATATCAGCCCTCGCAATAGAAGTTCCCATTGCTCATCTGGTAAGTTCTATCAGTACCACAATACCTGCCACTGTGATGAGTGGCATTTCCTCTTAGAAACAGGATGAAATACCATTCCCTTTCACGTAGAAACCAAACCTTGAGTATTTTCTTATTTGCTCAACCTGTTTTATAGGTGGCATAGACACAATAAAAGCCTGTCTTTTATCTCAACTACTCTGAATTTAAGAGACCACAACAGGCATATTGAAGATCTTGCATAAGAAGTAATAAAGCCTATGCAAGTTTTTCAGCAGAGAAGGGGGCAGACACTCAAACGTACAAGAGTGTTGATCAAAGGACTTTCATGGTTTTCATCACTGTAGGCTATGACCATCTCAGGCATAATAATATATTAGTATCTACATACTAAAAGGCTGGGGAATACAATTATTTGAATTTTACAACCAGAAACAGAGAGGGCTTAAGAGATTTGCCAAAGATCATACAAGATGTCTGTAGCAAAACTGGGTCTGTAACAAATTTTCAAAGGATGAGATTTCATACAGCCTCAATTAGCTGACAGCTAATTCCCAGTTTGGTTCAGCTGAAAAAAAAATAATAGCTACCTCACCATGCATCCAAACAGGCAATAGAGAGGGAAAACAGCATTGACATGAGAAACTATGTCTTAAAGCAGGGAATGCGACATGCTACC